GAGAGGAGAGAGAGGAGAGAGAGGAAAGAGAGGAGAGAGAGGGGAGAGGAGAGAGGAGAGAGGAGAATGAAGAGAGAGAGAGGAGAGAGAGGGGAGAGAGGGGAGAGGGGAGAGAGGAGAGAGGAGAGGGGAGAGGAGAGCAAACTGAAATGACGAGCAGCTGGGGGGCAAAATACACACCTTCCCCAAACACAGCCTGGCCTCTAGTGAACCCCCACACCCATGCATGTAAAGAGAGGCATTTCATTATAACAGAACAGAATCAATAAAGAGGCATAGAGTCAAATAAGAGCAAAGCAGTGTCACCCAGCCCTGCCTGGGTCAGCTGCATAAAACACCTTCATTGTGAAATAGGGGTCTAGCAAGCCGAAGGCAGTGTGATCACTGCACTCCAGGGCAAAACTGAGGGGAGACTGAGCTGAAGGGGTTTTATGTGGCTGTGCCCCAAGCCCTCAGACAGACCTCCTCTGTCCGTGTGGAGCAGAACGAACCGTGGCGGCTCTGACAGGGGTGTGCAAGTGCACGGCTAATTAGTTAATCAGTTAGTCAGGGTTAAAGGTGATTGGGAATTTGAGATGGTGATTGAGCAAATAAAAATGAATGAAGATTGTTTTGTGAACAAAGAGATTTTTTGTTACAGTTTTACGTACCTCTTGGAGCTGACTCCTCTGGAGAGCAAGAATGCGGGGGAGAGGGGGAGAGGGGGTTAATGAGGAGAGAAAGGAGGAGAGCAAGAGATAGATGTATTAGACACAATGCATTAGAGACATGTTGTATTGGGCCATTAGAGCAGAGACACAGAAAGATGGCGATGTGGACATGTTAGAAGACAGAGTACATATTGAATAGGAGGCAGATACACCGAGAGATCTATTGAAGACAGAGAGAAACCAGAGAGAGAGACAGGCTGCCAGCTTCAGTAAAGTCTTACTTGTACAGCGACCTGCCCTGGATGGTGGTGAGGTTGGAGAACACACTGAGGTCAGACAGTTTCTTGGGCCATGACTGGATACTGAGGATATCTGACAACACATGGGCAAACCAGAGTCACTGACAGGCAATCTAGAGTCACAGACCAGAGACACAGATGGTCCAGTCACAGACAGGTAGACCAGAGACACAGACAGGCAGACCAGAGCTACATGCAGAATGGAGACAGACAGACAGTCGAAAGTCACAGACAGACCAGAGACACAGACAGTCCAGAGTCACAGACACTCCAGAGTCACAGACACAAACCGTTCAGAGTCACAGACAGACCAGAGACACAGACAGGCAGACCACAGACACAAACCATTCAGAGACACAGACAGTCCAGAGTCACAGACAGACAGTCTAGAGACACAGACAGTCCAGAGTCAAAGACAGGCAGACCACAGACACAAACCATTCAGAGTCACAGACAGGCAGACCACAGACACAAACCATTCAGAGTCACAGACAGACCAGAGTCACAGACAGGCAGACCAGAGACACAGACATACACTCCAGAGACACAGACAGCCCAGAGTCACAGACAGACCTGAGTCACAGACAGGCAGAACAGAAACACTGCCAGTCCAGAGTCACAGACAGTCCAGAGTCACAGACAGACCTGAGTCACAGACAGGCAGAACAGAGACACTGACAGTCCAGAGTCACAGACACTCCAGAGTCACAGACAGGCAGAACAGAGACACTGACAGTCC